ATTTTCGGTTTAAAATGGAAATCTTTAAAATAAAATTTAAATAGTTGTGTTGGTGATATCCCTAAAAGTGATGAAAATGCTGTTTTATAACTAAAACTTCTTTTCTTAAACTTTTTAAAAAGGAAACAAGTAAAAATATTCTTGAAATAAGTCTGAACCAATCTATCTGCTTTACTAATGTCTTTTACCTTCCTAAGCTCGTGTTAAATTTTATTTGCAGAAGAAAAGCAAACAAAATTATTTGTTGCTTTTTATACCCTACACCACTTCAGTGGGGAGGGTATATTGGGTTTGTGCTGATGTTTGTAACGCACAATGATATTGGTCCTATACCCACCTTAAAGTATCGATTTAGCTATGTCCGTCTGTCCGTCCGTCCGTCCATGTAAACCTTGTAATCAAACTACAGGTCGCAATTTTGAAGATAATTCAATGAAATTTGGTACATGATCTTCTATTGTTCCAGGGACGAAGCCTATTGAAAATGGTTAAGATCGTTCCATTATTTCACCTAGCCCCCATACAACTGAACCCCCCAATAGGGCTTGAAAACCTTGTAATCAAACTACAAGTCGCAATTTTGGAGATAATGTCCATGTAAACCTTGTAATCAAACTACAGGTCGGAATTTTGAAGATAATTCAATGAAATTTGGTACATGATCTTCTATTGTTCCAGGGACGAAGCCTATTGAAAATAGTTAAGATCGTTCCATTATTTCACCTAGCCCCCATACAACTGAACCCCCCAATAGGGCTTGAAAACCTTGTAATCAAACTACAAGTCGCAATTTTGGAGATAATTCAATGAAATTTGGCACATGATCTTTCATGATACCGTAGACGAAGCCTATTGAAAATGGTTAACATCGGTCCATTATTTCACCTAGCCCCCATACAACTGAACTCCCGAATAGGGCTTTTAAACTTTGTAATCAAACTACAAGTCGCAATTTTGGAGATAATTCAATGAAATTTGGCACATGATCTTTTATAGTACCGTAAACGAAGCCTGTTGAAAATGGTTTACATCGGTCCATTATTTCACCTAGCCCCCATACAACTGAACCCGCCGAATAGGGCTTTTAAGTTCATAATTATGTTTAATATACTCATATCTCGACAAAAAGCTGCAAAAACCAAGTTCTATACAAGATTTGATGACCCTCACGAATTCTATAATAATAGGTCCTCATATGACCCTAGCCCCTATGAAAAGCCCCCATCAAAATTTCACTTAAATGTCCACAATTTTATTCAACAATAAACGGCTTAAGTATGTATATCTGACGCAAGGTACAATTCAATTTAAATACTTTATTATGGCAAATAAATCACATTATATTTTTGTCAAAGGTGTAGGGTATTATATGGTCGACCTCGCCCGACTATAATTTCTTACTTGTTTATTTATTTTATTATTCTTTTTCATTATTTGTTTTGTCTTTTTTGTTGTCCACAAAAGTCTGGTAAAAAATTTAAGAGCAAATAAACTTTGAAAAAAAAAAGAAACTTGTTTTTTTTCTTCAAATACCCAAAAATAGCAACAAAATAATTGCAAATGTATTCCAACTTTAAATTATGTCTTTAGCTGTTGAGGTTTGTATATGCAGCTTTATCTAATTGAAAATATAACTAAAACGATATTTGGCACCCCTAAATGAGGGATAAATCTAAAATTGCTAATTAAAGCAAAATAAAAACGATAATTTGTCAAAAAAGTGAAACTTTTTATTCAAAATTTGGAAATTTTCTTTCTAAATATCCCTTTTTAGGGGAAGTTTTCCATAATTAAGTATTTGTTACATTTAAAGTTCAAATATTCATGGTATTCATGGTCTGGAGAGGATTACAAAAAGCCTGCATTGTTTTTCAGGCAGAAAATTTCGTCATCGATATGTTACGCAATAAATATCCAAAAACATAATCGTATGAAATTGACCATTAACTTTTACGTAGACTGTCTTCCATCCCCCTTTCAGGATCATGCCCTCGATCACGTTAAGATCGAAAAAGATTCTTAATTGCATTCACATCCAATTTGTCAAAAAAGTGAAACTTTTTATTCAAAATTTGAAAATTTTCTTTACAAATATCCCTTTTTAGGGAAAATTTTTCTTAATTAAGTATTTGTTACATTTAAAGTTCAAATACTGTTACAGGTATTCATGGTCTGGAGAGGATTACAAAAAGCCTGCATTGTTTTTAGGCAGAAAATATCGCCATCGATATGTTACGTGATAAATATCCAAAAATAGTTCACCATTAACTTTTGCGTAGACTGTCTTCCATCCCTCTTTAAGAATCTTGCCCTCGATCACGTTAAGATCGAAAAAGATTCTGAATTGCATTCACATCCACTTAGAATGCACTCTAACAAGTAATTAGGGTTCCAGAACAAATTTTACAAAAAATATTTAAAATTTTAAAACTTTTTTAAACAAAAAATTTTAAAAAATTTATAAAAATCATTAATTTTTTATAGAAACCCAGCAAAAATTGTATTAGTTCCACAACTAGTTCTAGAACGCATGAATATAACCTGTACTTGTTCTTCTTTAGCATTGAGACGAATGATTTTTGTTCGAAATTGTCACCTTCAGAACTGGTTTATACAAAAATTTCAATATTGAATAATGAATATTGTGAAATTTTGTATTGGAAAATTTTCAATTTTATTATAAAACATTTCTTTAACGAAAGTTTTCCATATCAAAATATTTTTCTCAAAAAGATTCAGTATTAAAAGAAATTTAATAATAAACTTTGAAAATTAAAAAAATTATTTAGAAATTTTTCAGAATTTAAACTTTTATTTCGAAAAATTGAAATATTGTGAATATTCTGAGATTTTGAATTGGACAATTTTTCAATTTTAACACTTTTTTACAAAAAAACAACTTTATTATTCAACATTTCCTTAAACAAAGTTTTCAAAATAGATAAAATCCTTTAAAGAAATTTCACAAGAAACTTTGAATATTAAAAAATTTATTTCGAAATTTTTTAAAATTTAAAGTTTTAGTTTCAAAATCTTAAATAAAGAACAATTTATTAAAGAAAAGGGCAATATTTTAAAATTTTGGAGTGAAAAAGGTTTATGATTTGTATGAAAAACAAGAATCAACTGATTCATCACGGAACGAAACGTTGAAATTAATTCTTGCTTTAAGTACTTAAGTGAAATCCTTGGTAGGATATTGAAATGGAAACTTCACATAGACTATAGGATCAAAAGGCATTTCGATACCGGGCGCTATGTTGGAGAATCATAGGCACAAAATGGGTCTTTATGAAAGTTTGATTACTTAGAACAATTCTTAACTTATGCTTCAATAATCTGGTGAACTTCTATGGACAGAAAAGTGTAATATCAAACTACTACTACGTCAACCAAGTCTGTGAAAACGTTTCTCGATACTCCAGCCATTGAATCGTTATATATTGGATATGAGGCAGCACTTAAAGCCAAACGTGTCGTAACTTTAGGCGAACTGACTAATATATACTGGACACTTTATGAGTTTTCAATGAAAACTTTGGATACTAAACATTTCTTAAAAGGTAAATACCGAATTTATTCATAACACAGGTCAACAAAATTTGAAAAAAGTCGAAGTTAAAGAAAGCCCCTTTTTTGGACATATTGGAGACGCTATAACAGCATGAAGACAACTTTATTTATAAAATCTGTTATGTCATTTGAAAGTCCAATCTATCGTCTTTAAAATAAAGTTTTAACCACTATTGTACCCTATTTTTCTTCGGATTCCACACTGCTCAGTCTTTTAGACTCCTATACTCAGGTGTCTGGGTTAAAAAATTGATTTTTATAGATTTTAAATTACTTTTTTTAAACCAAATAACAAAGAACGAATCAATATTGCGCATTCTACAGGTAATTAACCACAAAATAATTAGAAATTTCTAATTGGTCAGCTTCAACCCTAAACAATTAAAGCACCTGCTTAGCAAAGAAGAAAAAACCAAGCAACAAAGGCGACGACGACACTCTTATCACAAAAAAATGAACAATTAAACCTTAAATAAAACAAGTAAGAAAGTATAGTCGGGCGTGGCCGACCATATGATACCCTACACCAGTTATGAATATTAAATGTGATTTATTTTTCATAATATCGCATTTATCTTCAATATTCCCTTGTTCCGATACATTTAAGCAATTTATGGATGAAAAACTAATTTTCTGAAAGAGGCTTTATATGGGGGCTAGGGGCAAATATGGACCAAGCCCGATAAAATTTTGTGAATATATTTATATTTACATAATATTTTATTGTGCTGAATTTCATCGCGATATTTGTGTTTATAAGTTAATTTGGGACATTCAAGTAATTTTCTGAAGGGGACTTTGTATGGGAGCTAGGGTCAAATGGGGCCCGATCTTTATGAAATTTGGCAGGGTTATCAAGACTTCTATAAAACTTAGTTGTGCCATATTTTATCGATATATCTGTATATTTAACATAATTGTGAGCTCAGAAGCCCTTTTCGGGGGGTTCTGTTCTATGGGGGATAGGTGAAATAATGGACCGATTTTAGCCATTTTCAATAGGCTTCGTCCTTGGGTCAAATAAAACGTGCGTGCCAAATTTCATCCAATTATCTTGAAAATTGCGACCTGTAGCTTGCGCACAAGGTTTACATGGACAGCCAGCCAGACGGACGGACGGACATAGCTTAATCGACTCAGAAAACGATTCTAAGCCGATTAGTATACTTTAAGGTGGGTCTAGGACGAATATTTTTATATGTTACAAACATCAGCACAAATCCAATATACCCTCCCCACTAAGGTATAAAAATGTATCCCTTCATTTAATATAAACAACCAAGTCCTGTGTATGTATAACGACACAAAAACACCAATATAAAGGAATTTTTGGCAAACTGAAAACTAGGACACTTTTATGTACCTACTACACAGGAGGCAATTACTTTAAAATGTTTTACTTTGTATGTATTATTTGCATTACTCACCTGGCAAATGGTGTTTGTTCAACTTCATAAATTTCGTTGATATCATGAGGAACGAGTAGACCCTTAAGACGTTCCTCATCGATGTCCAGCAAACCGTCTCCAATTGGAAAAATACCTTCAGCAAACATGTTCGTTTTGTTGTTTTTTCGTTTTTCTTTAATTTTTTTCTTAAATTTTTTTTTCTTTAATAAAAGGGAGGGAATTCTTTTTTTGCGGGATTTTGTTTTTGTTTAATTTCGCTTTAATCCTTTGAGGGGAGTTTAGGTTTCTTTATTTTTTTTTTTAAACTTTTGCCTAAGAGAATTGACTTTCTTAACACTTTTTTTCGCTTTATTTTTTCTTTAACAATTTAAAACACATAGAATCACTGTGGGAAAGATAAAAAAAGAATTGAGAATTTAATTAATTTATAATTTGGAATTTGTTATAATTTTATTTAATTTGAAATATTATTTTTTTAGAAAATAACACAAAAATCCCAGCAGGAGAGTATAAATTTGTTTAATTTTATTTAATATTTGTTTAATTGTAATTTGACTTTAGTTTTTCTATATTTTTACTCTATAAACAACAACACTTTTTAATAAGAAAAAGCAACAGAGGAAATATTACTATTTTTTTGTTGTAAAATTTTTTCATTTGACATTTGTGTGTTGTTATTTTATTTATTCTGCTGCTGCTGCTGCTTCTTCTTGTTCTTCTACTTTAGTTAATTTAACAGCAACAACAACACTTCATTTTTTTTTTCGTACTCTACACTTTAATATAAATGTTTGTCAAAATGTGTATGTTTTTTCTTGTGCATTAGAAAGAGAGAGGTGTTTGGAAAGGGAGTCGTAGTAAAAACACTCATAGAAAATAAAAACTAAATAAACACTCAAAGCCAGAAGTCGTAAATTTGTTAACAAAACACTGTATAAAATAAAAATTTAATTTAATATTAATAAAAAATTTCCTAAAATTTAAAGTAATTGCTTGTTTTACACCAAAATTCTTTAGGAAAAAAGAAATTGTTATGTTATACTCGTGTTATGGAAAAATATTTTTTTAAAGAAAAATTTTCACTTTCAGCAGCTTGTTTTTTTACAATATTTTTTCTTGTTGTAATTGTGAAACAAGTTTTTCTTAAACTTTTTTTCTTTATTTTTTTTTTAAATTTTAACAAACACACTCACTTTACGTTTTTATATACAATATTTTTTGTGTTGTTTTTTTTTTTTAATTCTCTCCTTGTTTTTTTTTTTCTTTTATAACTTTGTTTCGTTGTGTATTCCTTGTTATGTTTGCCTTTTAGCACTTCCAACAATTTTTATGTTATTCACCAAAAAAAAAGAAAATTTAATTTTCTATACTTCTTTTATCCCACAAAAGCTTTAAAATCACTTCAATTTTTATTAAAAACTTCTTGACGAGTCACCAAAACGTGTAAATAACTTATTTTTTAATTTTATAAAATTACTAATTCGTTCGTTTTATTACCTACTCAAAAAACACACAGAGCTTGAAGAAAACTCATTTGGGATATTTCAAAAAAAAAAAACAACAACATACGCGTCTGCAAAACTTCACTACTCGACTTTTTAAAATTGACTGACGTTTTCAAACAAAGCAACAAGGCAAGAGTACCAAGTCTTTCAGCAACAACTAAAATAAAGGCGTCATAGCAAGTGTGGCGGCTTATATAACATAACGGCGTTGACAAGTTTAATAAACAAGGAGAAAACTTCAAACAGTTCAAGTTAATAGAGTTTTTAATGAAAATAATCATAAAAAAACAATTAGTACATTTAAAATGTTTTGCAATTAACTTAATTAAATTAATTCAATATTGTTTATCTAAAATCTAAAATTTAACTTCGTTTTAAAACTTTTTTTTATAAATTTTCAACGACTTTAAGCTACAGTGGGCAAATTTTCTTCAAACAAAAATTCATACAAAACCGCATTAAAGTTGTGTTCTATTGATTTCGATTTAAGCAAAGCAATACATTTTTTGCAATATGAAACAAAACTATTTAATCCAACTTCTTTATCCAGTAGTCCTAACAACATACATACATATGTATCAGTCCAAAACTAACCTATTGACTAGAAAACAAACTAGACCATAGATTAGATAACAGACTATTCCATAGACTAGTCTATAGACTAGTGGACGGACATGTCCATAGACACAATACTAGACAAGAACAAAACTAGTCTATAAAAGAGACAACTTTATAGACTAGACAAAACACTAGACTCGTGCATAATGTGGACAAATGACTAGTTCATACACTACACTATTCTATAGACTATATAACAGACTATTCCATAGTCTAGAAAACTGGCTAGCAGCTATCCCATATACTATAAAATTAACAAGTCCATAGACTAGAGAATAGTCTACAGACTAGACATGACTAGACCATTCTCTCTTCTTCAGGAATATTTGGTATTAATGAACAAATCGGGAAAATATAAAATAAAATTTCGATCTTATAACAAGTCAAATTTATATAGGACCTAAAAAGCTGAGATTTGACAGAAATATATCCTACTAATTTTCATTATAAATCTGTTTATTTGATATGATTCACAAAACGTTACGTATTAACTAATTACGGTATTAAAACTCGTTTCAAATACAAAGCAACAGGATAAGAGTCCCTAGCTTACACCAACATTTAAAAGAACGGCGTCAATAAAGTACACGTTCGCAGAGGTGTTGCTGACAGAAAAGCATAAATATTTAACAAATGCAAGAAATGCAATTATCTGCATTTAGACATACATACAATGTGTGTATTTAATTTTAAGAGAATTATTTTATTTGTTATCATATAAATTTGTATATTTTTCTTTACATTAACAGCAACTGATAAAAATAATCACTGACTTGGAAGTTTGCCAAATGGTTGAATGGTTGGTACTGCCATTTATGGTTTTACTACAGTATTGCCATTCATAGTTAGTGAGTTTTATTAAAGCTGAGAAAAGTTTCTGTTATTGTGAATAGCTGTTTTCAGTGGTAGATTTAAACGTTACTTTTCAAAATGTTTCTACCTGTTAATCAGGAATTGAATGAACTAGCACATTTTAAATAAGTATTAAAATTATATTAATTAAAACAAATTTATTTTAAAACTGATTTATTAGGTGATTTTCCTAAAAAGTCCCAGGCCGATAAGAAATAGATGGTGTCTCACCCCTCTCCTACATATTAAAGGACATTAATAATTCAACAAATTTCAAATTATAAAACTCATTCTTAACTCCTAAAATAAAAAAATTACCTATGTATGTACATATATTTTCGATATTTTTCTGCTTAAATTGCATCATTTTAGAAATAAAAGTTAAATAAAAGCAACAACAAAATCAATTTAGAAAAAATCTAATGAAGTCAAATAACTCAACAACAGCATGCGTTTGAAATGGCGCCTTCTTGTTAAGAAGTGTTGACAGCATGTCCGGCTAGACAAAAAATTTAAAGCAATAAAGTAGACCTAACAAAAAATCGCACACAAAAAAGAATTTAATCCCCCTCTTTTATTTTAAATGTAAAGATTTTTGTTGTTGTAATTTTTTCGCAAAAAAAACTTAAACAAATCTTAAATTCCGCTATTTAAGTTGTTCGTTGCCGTATGAAAGAGCAAAAAAGTAAAAAACAAACAACAACAAATACTTATAAATCTGTTGTAAAGGAATCAAGATCTTGTGCAGACCGACCCATCAACACACGTAATTACAAACCGCCTTTACACTTTATTACAGTCAACAACCGGAACAAGATACTTAACACTACAATCGATTCACAAAAAATGATTAAAAATACAAGAACAAAATATGTACTTCATAAAGCAGAGATTTGAAGGAATGTATAGTAAACACAGAAATAAATTAACTAACTAACTAACTAACTAACTAACTACTAACTAACTAACTAACTAACTAACTAACTAACTAACTAACTAACTAACTAACTAACTAACTAACTACTACTAACTAACTACTAACTAACTAACTAACTAACTAACTAACTAACTAACTAACTAACTACTAACTAACTAACTAACTAACTACTAACTAACTAACTAACTAACTAACTAACTAACTAACTAACTAACTAACTAACTAACTAACTAACTAACTAACTAACTAACTAACTAACTAACTAACTAACTAACTAACTAACTAACTAACTAACTAACTAACTAACTAACTAACTAACTAACTAACTAACTAACTAACTAACTAACTAACTAACTAACTAACTAACTAACTAACTAACTAACTAACTAACTAACTAACTAACTAACTAACTAACTAACTAACTAACTAACTAACTAACTAACTAACTAACTAACTAACTAACTAACTAACTAACTAACTAACTAACTAACTAACTAACTAACTAACTAACTAACTAACTAACTAACTAACTAACTAACTAACTAACTAACTAACTAACTAACTAACTAACTAACTAACTAACTAACTAACTAACTAACTAACTAACTAACTAACTACTAACTAACTAACTAACTAACTAACTAACTAACTAACTAACTAACTAACTAACTAACTAACTACTAACTAACTAACTAACTAACTAACTAACTAACTAACTAACTAACTAACTAACTAACTAACTAACTAACTAACTAACTAACTAACTAACTAACTAACTAACTAACTAACTAACTAACTAACTAACTAACTAACTAACTACTAACTAACTAACTAACTAACTAACTAACTAACTAACTAACTAACTAACTAACTAACTAACTAACTAACTACTAACTAACTAACTAACTACTAACTAACTAACTAACTACTAACTAACTAACTAACTAACTAACTAACTAACTAACTAACTAACTAACTAACTAACTAACTAACTACTAACTAACTAACTAACTAACTAACTAACTAACTAACTAACTAACTAACTAACTAACTAACTACTAACTACTAACTAACTAACTAACTAACTAACTAACTAACTAACTAACTAACTAACTAACTAACTAACTAACTAACTAACTAACTACTAACTAACTAACTAACTAACTAACTACTAACTAACTAACTAACTAACTACTAACTAACTAACTAACTAACTAACTAACTAACTAACTAACTAACTAACTAACTAACTAACTAACTAACTAACTAACTAACTAACTAACTAACTAACTAACTAACTAACTAACTAACTAACTAACTAACTAACTAACTAACTACTAACTAACTAACTAACTAACTAACTAACTAACTAACTAACTAACTAACTACTAACTAACTAACTAACTAACTAACTAACTAACTAACTAACTAACTAACTAACTACTACTAACTAACTAACTAACTAACTAACTAACTAACTAACTAACTAACTAACTAACTAACTAACTAACTAACTAACTAACTAACTAACTAACTACTAACTAACTAACTAACTAACTAACTAACTAACTACTAACTAACTAACTAACTAACTAACTAACTAACTAACTAACTAACTAACTAACTAACTAACTAACTAACTAACTAACTACTAACTAACTAACTAACTAACTAACTAACTAACTAACTAACTAACTACTAACTAACTAACTAACTAACTAACTAACTAACTAACTAACTAACTAACTAACTAACTAACTAACTAACTACTAACTAACTAACTAACTAACTAACTAACTAACTAACTAACTAACTAACTAACTAACTAACTAACTAACTACTAACTAACTAACTAACTAACTAACTAACTAACTAACTAACTAACTAACTAACTAACTAACTAACTAACTAACTAACTAACTAACTAACTAACTAACTAACTAACTAACTAACTAACTAACTAACTAACTAACTAACTAACTAACTAACTAACTAACTAACTACTAACTAACTAACTAACTAACTACTAACTAACTAACTAACTAACTAACTACTACTTACTAACTTACTAACTTACTAACTAACTAACTAACTAACTAACTAACTAACTAACTAACTAACTAACTAACTAACTAACTAACTAACTAACTAACTAACTAACTAACTAACTAACTAACTAACTAACTAACTAACTAACTAACTAACTAACTAACTAACTAACTAACTAACTAACTAACTAACTAACTAACTAACTAACTAACTAACTAACTAACTAACTAACTAACTAACTAACTAACTAACTAACTAACTAACTAACTAACTAACTAACTAACTAACTAACTAACTAACTAACTAACTAACTAACTAACTAACTAACTAACTAACTAACTTACTAACTAACTAACTATAACTATGGTATAACCGATAGTCCATACCATAAATAAGACTATAGACGAGGTTACAGTCCACATTATAGACGAGACTTTTTGTTGTAGATATGACAATACATATGTATAATACGTATGTAATACATATGTATATGAGTCTGCATATAGTCTACAATAAAGAATAGACTATAGACGGAGTCAGTCTCATATTTCGAATGGAAAAGAAATGTTACATATAGTCCATTTGAAAGTTAAGTTATAAAAGGGTAATTTAATGAAATCACCCTTTCAAGACCCTGCCAACCTAGTAT